TGTTGTCAGAGGGGTAGTTTGCAAATATCTTCTCCCCTTTTGTGAGTTATCTCTTCACTTACTATATCTTTTGCTTTGAGGACACATTTTAACTTGATGTGATCCCATTTGTCCATTTTTGCTTTGGTTGCCTGTGCTTGTGGGGTATTGCTCAAGAAGTCTTTGCCCAGACTAATGTACTGGAGATTTTACCCAATGTTTCCTTGTAGCAGTTTCATAGGAAGGGTGGGAGGGAGAGAGGGAGGGAAGCAAGGGAAGAAGGAAGAAGAAACACTGATAGAGTTAGAAATTCATTATTTTACAACCAACTTTAATAATTGTTTCGGGAAAAGATTATCAATGGATGAAAGTTTCTTAGGAAATAAAATACCTATACAATTTCAAAGCATCTCTCCACAGAGTACTTACCATTACAGAAAGGGGGAGCAAGTCGCTGAAGCTAACATTAACAATAATGGGACAAACAGACAGCACGTGCATCCTGACAAGATGCACTAAGAACCTCCCATAACGTCTGCAATATCCTTGCCAAAATTCATAACTGAATCTAATCGTAAGCCAATAATCCGACAAACCCAAATTGATGGAATTCAATAAAAACAGCTGTTCTCTTTAAAAAAATCAATGTTATAGAAAGGCAAAGAAAAATTGAAACTGACGGTACATGGCAACCAAATGCACCTCATAATCCTAAATGGGCTCCTGAATTGGTATGGGAGGGTGGGGAGGGAACAGTATTGGAAGGATAGGCAAAATGTGAATATGACTCTATATTAGGTAATAGTATTAAATCAATATTGAATGTTCTGAATTTGATTATTGCCCTAAGTTATATAAAAAAAATATGTACTTGTTCTTCAGAGATATATGGTGAAGTATGTAGGATAAGGTCATCCTGTCTGCAACATGTAAAATTGGTTCAACAATAATATATAACAATGATACATACAAACATGCATATATTATTATACGATCCTTCCAATTCTTCTGTAGCTTTAAATTTTTTTCAAGCTAAAATAAAAGTGCACATTTCAGGATTTAGGCTTGAGCAGTTATAGCACCAACAGATGGCTAGTTGAGTTGGAGGACAACCTCACTCAGGGAAGTCACTGGCTCTGGGCTATGCCCAGGGGTCCATGACTAGTGTTCACTCTCCAGTGCTGTCTGTCTGCATCTCATTTGTTTCAAGGCTCATAAATTTCAAGAGTACTTTATTTCTTGTAAAGTATTGCAGCCTGCAGGGAAGTAGAGGCCAAAAACAGGCACTTTGGAGGAAAGATGAGACAGAAATTTATGCTAAGCAGGTTAGCTAGGTATATATATTCAACAGGTTATAGGAAGAGCTACAGATATTGACAAGGGGGGGTGACATCTGCATGTGTATTAAGCAAATGTGCATGTTACAGCATCTTTGGCATAGACTTAACCTTTAAATGTATTTAGGCCCAATATGTCAAAAGGTGAAGCTCAATATACCAAAAGGTGAAGCAGCAGAGGCAAAGGCGCTCAGTGTGCAGCCTCTGTAAACTGCCCAGAACAAGACCATGGTCAGTAGTCTGCCATCAGAAGAGAGCTACTGAAATCAGTCTCTTGTCAAACCAAAGCTGTACCTATGGCTTGTGCAATAGGTGTGGGGGAGTATCAGTTAGTCAGCATCTGGCAGTCAGTGAGCTGCAAATGTTTTAATATTGCTTATCTCAAGGCATGACCTTAAGGGGCTTGTTTATAATTTGGTAGCATATTGCCACAGAGTCCATTCCATCAGTATTATCTCTATTATAACATCTATTAGTTGCTAATAGAAACTCCTTTTCCTGCAGAATAACATGGTGCCCCACATCAATCATTACCAAGTACTTTCCAAGATTCCCCAATAAGCAGTAATGATCATGTGACACAATTCTTGCCAATGAAACCATACATGGAAGACTGTTGGGGACGCTGGAAAGACTTTTACTTTATCTGGTAAGAGAAGAAAGAAGATACTTCTTCCCTTTATCCTGCCTCAAATGTGGACATGAATGAGTAACTTAAGAAAAGCCTATTAAAGTCTCTCAAAGTCTATATTTAAGACACTATCAATATGTGCAACTGCATTTTTCTAAATTTCTTGTTATGTTAGAAAAGCTTATTTATTTAAACATTACTTAGCTTTGTTGCACACAACCTAATACATTCCTTACAAATACAGCAATTAGAAACATGATAGTAACATTAGGCTTCTGAGAACCAGCTCAATGGGATGTCCAATCAAAAACTGGCTATGTGTGTCAGTGTGTGTGTTTTTAGGTGTTTTGTTTTTTGGGAGGAGGGAGGACAATATAAGATCAGTCTTAAACATGTTAGTTTAAACATTCCAGTACATTTACAGATAATATTATTTAGAATTGTCATCCAGGACACTTTCCTTCTCTCAATTTCTTCTTTTTATAAAGTGTAGATCAACATTTTGTCCACTATTCACCACAGCGATACCTGAAATCATTTGCCTGTATTTCTCTGCTTTTTGTATTTTTAACACACAAGCAAAGGAACAGGTAGGTAAGGAATTACTACACAGCCAAGTTTGATTCTATTTGGAAGTGGGGGATCATTCTAGAACCAAACCAGGGCTGGGGATTATTTTATCTCAACAGCAGCCAAGGGAACTTTCATCTCAATGTAAAAGCAACTCTCCAGCTGTTTCTGTTTCTATACTCTGCTTTTTTTCTGTCAACGGACAACTTACCATTTGATCACTTCTCTCCATCTCATTCTTACTCATGTTTTCTGCTTTCTCTGAGCATTGGCTCTTGTGTACCTCCTCCTGCTTTAAGCCTCTTTGTATCCTTTCAGCTCCCTCTCTCACTGCCAACCAGTACTTACAATTACCTGGTTTAGATTCTGGAGCAAGAATGTGAAGTGATCCAGCTCATCATGGTTGAGGAAAGCTATCTCCAGGGCCAGAAGTCAGCATTTTTTTCCTTTGGATAAGGATTCTGCCTGTGGTCTAGTCAGTGTAATTGGGAAGGGTCACACAGGAATGGGCCAGATCCCTTTCTTTCTTCAATGACTATAGGTGAGGCAGCTTTCTTCAGAAAGGGACTTTAGAAAAAACTAAGGCAACTAATTCATTTAGCACTTGTATCATCAAAAAAAGAAAAAGATGGCTGGGCGCGATGGCGCTCACCTATAAATCCAGCACTTTAGGGGGCCAAAGTAGGTGGATTGCTTGAGGTCAGCTCAAGACCAGCCTGAACAACACACTGAAAACCCATCTCTACTAAAAATAATTAGCCAGATTGCTTGAGGTCAGTTCAAGACCAGCCTGAACATCATGGTAAAACCCCATCTCTACTAAAAATAAAAAAATTAGCCAGACATGGTGAGCCATGCCTGTAATCCCAGCTACTCGGGAGGCTGAGGCAGGAGAGTTGTCTGAACCCGGGAGGCAGAGGTTGCACTGAGTCAAGATTGCACCACTGCACTCCAATCCAGCCTGGGTAACAGTGAGCCTCCATCAAAAAAAAGAAAAAAGAAGGAAGGAATGGCGCGCTAAGAAATAATATACTGGTATGCACAGAATAACTTCCTATTCACACTTCAAAAACCAGATATGTAGGGTAATTGTAGAATAAAATGAGATAATAAATAGGTTTATGAATAGCTGGTTTGATTTAGAAAGATGACTCCTATTTCCCTGCTCTTGTATCAAATGACTGGATTTATTTTCTCTAAGACCTTAGTAACAACACACGCTTGAAAAAGCTTATCACTTTTGCTTGGACTATAAAGGTTGAACTGTCAAAATCATAAAAACTCTCAATTTTTTTTTTGGAAAAGCCTAATAAAAAATGTATAAATATGACAAAGAGGTCAAATACAAATGCTAATTAAGAAAGTAGGTGAAATAGACCAGTATTCAGCAATTTCTCTCCCACAGTAATCTTAATTTCACTTGGAATTTAATCCACATAATTTCTTCTTTTCCAAATCCCATTTAGAATAATATATGTTGATAATTTGTAGCTCTTTAGGCAATGTGCCCAGGTGAAGAGAAATCTTCTCTGAAATACTGTTTGCTCCCTTATGTAGCATCTTTACAAAACAATAACAAACATCTCAATTATTTCATGCCGAGTTAAACATTTCAGTACATTTATAAGATAATGTTTTTTAGAATAGTTGTCCAGGACATTTTCCTTTTTCTCCTAATTTCTTCTTTTTATAAGTCTTATAGCTGAAAGGCATGGTATACAAATTCATCTTTGCATTCTTGTGTGGCTTCCCCCCACCACCCCACGGGCTTCCTCTCCTTTCTTAAGTATTAATTTTAGCAAGAGAGACTATCTATCATTGGTTTTCCTTAGGATGTCTGAAGCTTCATTAGTTTTTCTAGCATTCTCTTTCCTGATTATTCTTNAGCTACTAAAATTCCTCTTTTTTGTGTGCCTAAATGCCTAAATGCTAGTGGCAAAGCTTTCTAGGTACAGAATCCAAGCCAATAAAGCCGGATTAAATCCAATCCAAAGGACGTTGTCACTGCCTTGTTTGACCATTTGGACACTTCACATTGGGTCAAAAGCTTTATATCCTACTTGACTTCATCCAGATGGACCATTTAATCATAAATGAGTAGGTATAGGACACAAAAACATTTAATTAAAAAATTGTTTGAGCTTAGATAAACACACATAAACTAATAGGAATCATAGTTCAAACTTTGTTCTTGGAATTGCTAGTGGCACCAGTAAATGAAAGAACATTTCCCACAGCAACTTAAGGAGGGAAGTGACATTAAGTCGGGTCACGGATAGACAGTTGTATGTAAATCATTTTCCATCCTCTTTGTTTATATCTCTGAGTTTTTATTAAATAATTCTTAAAACCACTTAACAATGGGATATTGACACTTGTGGTAAATTGGGATTAATTACTATCTCCTGGACAGCACTAGGAGAGATACTAAATGGTGTGCCAAGATTTTTTAAACTGCTGTAAGATGTTTAGAGAAAGAAGCAGTGCTCGCTTTGGCAGCACGTACACTAAAATTGGAACAATACGGAGATTAGCACTGTCCCCGTGTAAGAATGACATGAAAGTTCATGAAGTGTTCAATTAAAAAAAAAAAAAAAAGGAAACGCATTTGAACACCTTTAGTCTCTTTATCTTTTCTACAAATTTTCTATAAGTAATACACATTTGATATCACTGAAGCAAAAGAAGTCTAAAGGGCCGTTCCTTCAATATTTATAAAGTACCTACTAAGCATCCAGCAGTTACGCACAGGGCTGGATGCTTGGCTAGATAGATAGTATGCCATCCTTCTGGGCTATTTTTGTGTATGTTTTAGGAAGATGACATTCTTCAACATTGTAAGGTCAACAATCTGACAAAAGTAATTTAACACTGGGGCTCAGAAAATGACACCCCAAAACATGGCTCTTTGACATACTGAGTGCTTTAAACAAAGGAGATTGAAATGCTTCAGAAAGAAGCCTCAGAACCAATGTTTCTCTCTGACCTTCTGTTCCTCCCACAACTTCTCTTCTGAAGTGCAGGAAGGGGCCTTCTCTGAAGCTCCCTTATCTGACTGAGGGAAGTTCTTCCAAAAGGAACAGAATGGTCTAGAATCCTTTCCCTAGGGAATTCATCAAACGATCAGGAAAGGTTAATCAACAGAGATTAATTCATCACTGCAGACAGACAGGCTATCACCTATTCTTTTGGATGTTGCTCCAAAACAACTTTTATCTGAATAAGACAGTCTTTGCTCCTCACTGGGCTCCTCCCCTTTCCCTCCCCTAGCTTGTTGCTACTTCCCCCAGTGCTTCAAGCTCCTATTCCTTTATGCTATTTAAGCTTCAGCTATCTGGTCCTTGGAGTCTCAAATTTTGTACCGCTCCCTCCTGTGCATATTAATCTGTGTGCCTTTCCTCCAATTAATCTGTTCATTATCAGTTTATTTCAACAGACGCACTTGACTCTTCAGTAGATTAAACTTTTGTACACTAGTCTGATTTATTTTCCCTTTAAAATGAGCTATATTTCATCTTTCTTTAGGTCTGCTTGTTGGTAAGCTATAGAACAAGCTTGTCCAATTTGTGGTTCATGAACCACGTGTAGCCCAAGATGGCTTCGAATGCAGCCCAACACAAATTTGTAAACTTTCTTAAAATATGAGATTTTTTTTTGGTGATATTTACATTTTTAAAGCTCATCAGCTATTGTTATGGCCCAAGAAAATTATTCTTCTAATGAGGCCCAGAGAAGCCATAAGATTGGCCACTTGTGCTATAAATTTTGTCTTTCATGGAGGTAGTGGGGGGCGGGGGGGGTGTGATCCCAAAATAGACCACTGATTTGCCAAATTTAAAAATTAAGAGTTTTCATATTCAGAGCCAGAATTACTGTAATGACTGACCTCACTGGTGATGTCACAATCACATTTCAAAAACAATAGAATATTTCCTGTGACTTAAATTCTAAATCAAAATTATTGGCCAGTTCTAGGTTGTTTTGCTGTTTCTTTTCCCTCTACAGTAAGTCTTGCCAACAGGCTGAGACTCCCTTCCTGACAACTATAATGATTAATTTTATGTGCCAATTTGATTAGACCAAAGTGCCAAGATATTTAGTCAAACATTATTCTGGGTGTTTCTGTGAAAGTGTTTTGAGATTAACATTTAAATCAGTGGCATGGATAAATGGGATTGCTTCCATCATGAGTGGGCCTCATTCAGTCAGTTCAAGGCTTGATTAGAACAAAAGGGCTAACCTTCCATTGAATAAGGGAGAATTCTTTTTGCCTGACGGCATTCGAACTGACACAATGGTTTTTTTCCTGCCTTCAAACCTGAACTGAAACATTGGCTCTTCTTGGGTCTTGAGCCTACTGGCCTTTGAACTGGAACTGCAACAATGGCTCTCCTGGTTCTCAGGCCTTTGGACTCAGACTGCAACTGAACCATCAGCTTTCTTGGGTATCCAGCTTGCCAGCTCACCTTAAAGCAGATCTTGGAATCTATCCTTCTGTAATCATGAGCTAATTTCATATACATATGTATATCCTCTTCATTCTCTGTCTGGAGAACTCTCATACACAGTTCTACTGCCTATTGTCTATCCCATCTTCTACTGGGGAGAATGCAGAGAGGGAACCAAGGGCCAAATATAATGAGGATAGTCTCCTTAAAAGAAAGCAAATGGGGAGTGGGCTAATATTTTGGGAGGAAATGTCTCATATGTGCCCCAAAATTTTATGTGAGGAAATTAAAGCTCAGAAAGTTAAGATTTATATAAGAGCACACTGCTAGTAAGAACCTGATTAGCTATCCCACCTACACACAGGTTTTAGGAAAATAAAATTTACAACATAATTTCCATTTATGTATAGCCCTCTGGAAAAGTAGAACATCCTGAAAAAGAACTTTCTTTGTATCTGAGTTGCTGTTTTCTTTCTCTTCTGGGATCTTTTTAGGAATAACTAATATATTAATATACGACCTTTATTTCTCACTGATTTCTTTTGTGTTACCCCTGTTACGCTGCAGTTCATCAATAAGCACTCACCATTTCTTTTGGCTGGCATCTCTTGTGCTCTCTGAATCTTTCTCAATTCTTTGTGGAACTCATCTCCATTTGATCACGATACTTACCTAACATTGTCAACAATACCCTCCTGTTTTTTCAAGAATATTATTCTTTTCAACCACCAGTGTCAGATTTTCCTTGCCCTGTTAGAATCCTGAATTCTATACTCCAAGCAGGCACTATCTTTAGTGCTATGGACTGAATTGTGTTCCCTCAAAATTCATTATGCTGAAACCCTAACTCCATATGTGATGGTATTTGAAGGTGTGACTTTGGGGAGATAATTAGGTTTAGATGGAATCTTAAGGGTGGGGCTTTCATAAAAGGATTGACACCCTTATCAGAGATACCAGAGAGCTTTTCGTCTTTCTCTCTGTCCCTCTCTCTGCCCGGTAAGGACACAGTGAGAAAGCTGTCTGCACGCCAGAAAGTGAAGCCTCACCAGAACTCAACCATACTGGCACCTTGACCTTAGACTTCTGGCTCTCAGAACTGTGAGGAAATAACTTTAAGACACCCATTCTATGGTATTTTGTTATGCTAGCCCAAGCAGACTGATATAATTGAGTTTAGCCATCATTAATGACACTGAATTTTACTCAAAATGCACACTATTAAAACATTTATCACAGTTGACTTAAGTAGTGTCAGATGACTGGAAATAGTTGTTGGACTTAATAGACATATTATTTAATTTGAAATCCATGAATATCCCACTTTAGCCAATATGAGCATGCCACTGAGAACCTCCTCAGAAAGATAACTGTGTCCCAAGATAACCTGCAAGTTAACAGCAAACACAGCAGGAAAAGCGAGTGATGGAGCTTATTTCCTACTCATACTGCTTATGAGAAAAGAGAAAAAGAAAAACCGAGAAGAGCCAATAGCTTTCTGCTGAATCTGTCTTCCCAAGGGACAACACAGGATGGTTAATCTCTAAGGGTCAGGTTTCAAGAATTACGAATTTCACAAACAAGCAAAATTACTTTAAAAACTGGCAAAGAACCTTACAGTTCTAGAGAACAATGGTAGCTAATTTTGAATTTCTCCCACATCCCACAATACCAACAGAGAATAAATTAAACCTTAGATGACCTATGCATTCAGTATTACTAGGAGACAGAAAACACTGTAGCCTTCAGATCACTTCTAAGCAAAGAAGAAAAATTCCAACAGAGAGCTCTGACTGCTCCCCTGATGCTATAAGCCTCTAAGTGTGGAGATTAGGCAAGGGGAAGTTTAAGAGATTCTATAAAAAGGGGTACAGGGAACAGAGGACTTAGACAAAGCAAAGGAAGAATTCTGCCTAGAAAGAGAAAGTGTAATATTAAAGTCCAAAATTCTGAACACAGGTGAGTACTTGGTAGTTTACAACACTACTTACATATTAAGAAGCAAGACCGGAAGTGGAAGCATTAGTGAAGCACGGTTTCCAGAAGACAATGAGGCAGTAAAAGGGAAGAATAAAATAAGAAGGAAAGATTAAATCTCCAGTGGTCTCAAAAATAACAAGGCATGCTGGCCTCCTCCTTTTCCCAACATCTTTTCCCAACTTCTGCTGATGAAAATCTCCCTCTATCTAAAAAAAAAACCAAGACAAACAAACAAACAAAAATAAAAGAAGCTGGGCCAGGTGCAGTGGCTCAAGCCTGTAAACTCAGGACCTGGGAGGCTGAGGCAGGCAGACTGCTTGAGCTCAGGAGTTCAAGATCATCCTGGGTAACATGACAAAACCCTGTCTCTACAAATACAAAAATTAGCCAGGCACGGTGACATGCACCTGTAGTCCCAGCTACTTGGAGGACTGAGGCAGGAGGACTGTTTCAGCCCAAGAGATCAAGGCTGCAGTGAGCAGCTTGAGCAATAAAGACCCTGTCTCAAAAAAAAAAAAAAAAAAAAAAAAAAAAAAAAAAAGAAAAAAAAAAAAAAAAAAAAAAAAAAAAAAGGGGGGGGGGGGCGGCGGGGGAAGAAGGAAAGAGAGGAAAAGGAGGTGGAGGGGGAGGAGGAAGAAGAAAGAAGGAAAAGGCCACCTCTATCTACACACAGAAAATGTCCATCAAGTAGAAAGAAAATTGACCTGGATTAAACCATGGTGATACATATCCTATTGGACTCTGAAATTAAAAAATAAAAATAAAAACTTAATGGTTTATAGGCAAAAAAATGAAACAAAAGCAAGAGAATTAGACTGACAACAGACTTATCAAAAATAACAAAGCAGGCAACAGTAGAGCCATGTTTTCAAGAAACTTAAGGAAAGAAAATGAGAACCAAGGATATTATAAACAACCACAGGATTCTATAAGTATCAAGACTATAGGAAAATAATGTTGAACACAAAAGGGCTCAAAGAATACTGTATAGATGTGCCCTTCCTGAGGAATCTGCAAAAAGATGAACTTCATCTAATAAATGACTAACAAAACTTTGGCAAAAGGATTAACAGTCAGCACTGTATATATTTAATTGTAAAGTTTAGACTGAAATAACGATGCGAACATGGGTAAAATAATATCTAACATTCGATGTTTT